TTGTGAAGCTTCTTCCTGATGTCTTTGTAGGTCAAGCCATTCCGCTTGCCTTCCAGCAGGATGGCATCATCCGCTCTGCGTTGGGCGTGGAAATCTGAGGCGGATTCAGGATTCGACTGCGCCCGATCGTCCTCTCGCCTTGGCACGCTCCTCAAAGATCCGTCCCGGGGTGTGGGAACATATGAGCTGCCGTTGCTTGCCTGTGCCTGTTCTCGGTTCGACAGGCCATGATCAGGCGCACTGCGGGCCAGGAGGTTGTTTGACTGACGCGGCATAAGCGTTGAACCTCCATGGAAGCCCGGCGAGATTGCTGGACTGCTCTGCTGTGAATATGAGTGGTCCGGTCCATGCTGACTGGTATCAGAATAGATGTCAGGCAATCCGTGGAATCCCTGGCTTGATCCGATCGACTGTGCCATGGGTGGACCCACATCTAGCCCATGTTGTTGGAGTCCCGAGAACTGGGCGGCGGCGCCATGCTCATTGCCCCATGTGGATGCATTTGGTGCATTCGGTGAAGAAGCCTTGATTGCTGTGTAGGGCTGCGCGCTGCCGCAGCTCCAGTCGCCGATAACAGAGGCCGTGCTCGGGATCGATTTGGGGGTGAAAGGCTGTGCCTCCGAGGCTTGGGTCTCGCTGTTGTAGCTCTTTGGAGATAGTGAGTCGTCTATACCTCGATCGAATGTATCGTTCCTCATGCTGCCGGAGAGTCCCAAAGACTCGGGCGTAGGCCATGATACTGTGCTTCCGCCACTGCCGCTGTTACCAAATCCAGAAGAGGCTGATTCTGGGTAGGCGAGAGCCCGGTTGCCATACAAGGAAGCATTCAGCTGGGGTATGTTCTGTGACATGTGCGGTCTACCACTGAAGGTAAAGTCATGGTCGAACGCCGTGCCTTCAGTCCAGAGCTGATTGCGAGGATATGCCGCGGCCGGTGGCAGGCGGCTAACTTGCGCGCCTCCAGTCTGCATATACGCCTGTGACTGCTGCCATTGCTGATGGTTGGGGCCCCAGTCCGATCTGCACTGCTGCTGCAATGCCATTGTCAGTCTTTGTATGGTCGCGGGCATGGAGCACTCACAGTGTACGGTAGCGCCATTGACTGCGTTTGGTAGTAGTTGCCGATAAGTTGGGAGCGCGTAGACTTATCCTGGCGAATGGCGGCGGTGGGTTGTCGCAGCTGCGAGTTGTGGTCGTGGAAGTTGGAGTCCGCAAGGCTTTGGTGGTAGTGAAGCAGACTTGCTCGAGCCATATTGCTGCGCGCCGCACGCACACCTTATAGTGGATCCGATACTGCTGCCAATCTTACAACACCACCTCGGTCGATCAGGTGTGAATAGCGAAATGCGCAGTTGATTCAAGAGAAGCGATCGTGAATGCGGATTGCGGGGTTGGCCAGGTATAGAGACAGCTACGTGAAGGCCTCACGACAAGACCCACTAACGTTCGACAAGCGCACCTGACCGCCCTTCACAGAACAGCGGTAAAAGTCGGAGCTTCAGATCACGTATGTCGGCGTGGTCCCAGCTTACAGGTCACTGCCAGCACACTTTGAGTGCTCCGATCTTGTCAAAACTGCCGAGTGGGCCAATACCGTGGAGAAGATGAGGTCGGCACTGCGCTCTATATGGGGCAACAGCAAGTCCGCGCACGAGATTGGACTGATACGTCCATCAGCACACTAAATCAGTAAAGGTATTGAATGGACCTCACCAGTATGCCACGCGTCGGAGCAATTAGAGGCTGCCTAGGCGCCGCCGGCGATGATTCAAAAGGTATGCGCAAACACTACGGCGATATTAGCTCTGCGACTCGTGGAGCTCGTCTTCTGGCTGCCATAAAGGGGAACGAACAAGTACCAATGAAGTGCGAACAGCAAGAAAATGTGCAGAAGGAAAGCCGAAGCCGTGTCGAAAGCTCAGTCTATTGAGACATGGATCACAGAGGTGAGCGGCGTTTTTGTTTCGGTCCAAGACACATTACAGTGGTCTCACTTTGCACAGCAACGTGCGTTTGAGTGCGCCTTGTCTATACATCACGGTAACAGGGGATGTGACCTGAGCTCTCGGATCAGATCCACATCCCTCACTGCCTGTAATGACAGCGGCTACGGGCGACGCGGGAAGGTGTGGGACTATCGTCTTCGGCCGGCCCACACCTGTCAAATCTGCGCCAGCGCTGCTCTTGTCAGAGGCCAAACATATTCGAAGTGATAGACGATGGCAGGGTAGCAGTCCTCCTCCTGCGTGGCTAGCTTGATACGGAAGCGTGGTTGCTCAGCCTTGCTGAGTGTATCAAGCTGTTCTCATGGCTAGAAGCTTGCCGGCGTGGACCATCTTGCTTGAGCTAGATGTGCTTGCTGTAATTGTGCTAGCTGAGTTGGCCCAGCACCGTGTTTGGTTTGACGTGCATGGCGTAGACGGCTACATGCATGACAGTTCTTGGCAGCAGTCCTCTCATTGAACCACTCGGTGCTGCGACAAGCCATGGCGAATCTGCCAGCTGCGAACTCTACCAGGATCTTGAAGTCGCAAAATGTTTCTGCAGCTTTCCCCGGATTTGCTGGAGATGACCTACAAGGTACATGCTCGCTGGAGTTCCTAGCTCGCCACTGAAACGACAAGCAATCGTTCTTTGGTGCCACAGGCGACCACGACATTGCAGATCTGCTCGGGTCTCGATCCATCGTATCGATCGCCTCTAGGACGATACATCTTGCTCTTTATAGACATATATCAACTCTACGGCAAGTACGCTACTAACTGGTTCACTTCACTGTGTCGCAGCATAGCCCTGTCGCGTAGGAATGTCCATCCAGCTTCGCCATGGGCGACCGTTGTACGGAACACGAAGGCCAGCAAATAAGGGTGGCTTGCAGTCTGGTATAAGCATGTGGTCCATGCGGTTATCTGCGACACAAAGCGACCTCAGTCTCACAGAACGTTGATGACATGAGGCGAGAATCCAGGAATCTGTTGCGGACCGCGGATGCTACTACAGACTTCAGATGAGGCCTTGAACACAGGCAGGGATGGTAACTAGCTCTGCCGTCAACAAGACCAAGCAATGTTCACATAGGGTGGTACAAGGCGGCAGAGATGCAGCATGCAGTCCATGTGCGAGGACAGTGGGCGAGGTGAGGCTATGATGAAGATATGCATTTTGTGGCGAGGACACCATTCATGAATTGACAGATTTTCATGTGTCGTTGAAAAGATGCACGATATGCTGATGACCGGTTTCTACAAGCATGACACCCTATCACTTTAGACTTTTCCACTACTTCGGTAATTCGCCCACGCACTGATGTTGTCACCAACCTTAGATCTTCGCCTTTTCACGAGACTGCTCTGGCGCTTTCAACTCGACATCTTGCCATGGGAGCGCTAGGAATTCCCACATGTGATGGAACCTAGAACCTAGTCAGCACGATCCACTACATTGGTCTCAGTGCCCGGTCATTGGTCGTGTGTTGGATGAGTATGCATCCTCAAACACTCCCGCGTCCGCGACGGGAACACGTCTGAAAGCCATGCCCAACGTCCATGCTTCGACAAAGGGGAACCCGAGAGTGTGGCACCATACGTACCGATCGCTACCGAAGAAAGGCTCTACTTCTCCTTTTGAGTTACGCACCACGAACCAAGGACAGCCAAAGGCACCAGACTCGAGTGCCTCCTTGGTGTTGTCGTTCAGACGCTGCTTGTATGGCGCACTGTTCGCGCTGCTGAGGATGTTCTTGACTTCACCTTCGCTGAAACGTTTCGACAAGACCTGGCCCAGTAGCTCGGATTTACTGACATCAAGTCCTTCTTCCCACATGCCGTGGAAGATGTCGAGGAAGGCCCTTGCGAAATGCTGTGCATGCGCTTCCTTGATGTATACCAGAGCACGTTGAGGAAGTAGTGACAAAATGGGAAAGAAATCAGGAGTCTGAATGTTCGGAACCCCAAAGTATCGCTTCGCTCGCGCGCTGTCGTACTTGCTGTATGCTCCTTTTGCTGGTAGCGTCCACGGTGGTTTGTTACCTGCCTCCGGTCAGGCATGGGGTGATTAATGCAGTGTTGCATGTCGGAAAACGACAGAAGCATTGCCGAATCGCACAAAGCTGGGGATAAGTAGGACTTACCGCTCCCGACGTTGATGCCGCCAAGAAATACGGGAACTATACTGCTGGCTGTCAGTACTAGGCAAGATGCACATGCAGCGAGGCGTGGAGATGGGTCAGGTAGTACGGGCGTCTCTCGTTTCACTACAGTCGGGTGGCTTGTACGAGCGATCATGCAAGGACTTGACGGCAACGTGCTGCTGGTAGCTTCGGAGACAGCCGCAATCTCTCTTTGAGGTTGGTTGTACTACACTTCAAAACCCCTTCGAGATCGCTCGCATATGACAGCTCGTAGGCGCGGAAAGCTGAGCAGAGGGACTCACTGTATCTCCACATTGTGTGACTTGAGCAAATCCCGGTTTCGCTCGAGGTGGAGTAGAGCGAAGTATGAGTACGGCGAGACTGCTCAGGCGTTAGTTTCACGTGATACGCCGAGGATGGGCGTGCAAGTCGTTGTACATACCACAGTCCAAGTAGGCGGTAATCTGGGCTGGCATAATTGCTAAGCTTGTCGAATGATGAGAAATCACATCCCCTTCATTCTGGCAGATGTGTTCCCGTTGACTTAAGAGTTGGCTGGGGTTGTAAGGTGGACGTGAGGAGAGCTTGTCAGCCGAGGTTCCTGCGAAACTGCAGCAACCGCCATCAGTAATCATATTCGCACCTCCCCCGAACGTTACGTGCGATGCGGATTCCCCGCACGACGCTGCTGAAGCTGAAAAGCATTAAGATGGAAGCATTGTATTCTAATATCAACTCTTCTACAACACATTGATTGATCTAACACCTTCGTCGACTCGCGGATCGTGCCATCGCTTTCGGATCTCGCACGCGCGCACTGAAGCCATTGGTATCAGGAAGGGCAAAAGCGTAAAAATAAACATAAAATATCTGAGCTGTGCGTGACTCGAACACGCGTCTTTCGCAGGTCATCGTCGGTCAGTCTATTGACCACTTTCTACGTCGACGGGAAGCATCAAGATCCGTCCGTTTCGACATTTCGGCCAGAAGTCAGCTCGAATTCGCTTGCGCAAGCAGTATCACAATATTCGACCCTCCGTTGAGTGCGAACGTCTTACCACTGGACCAACAGCTCTGTGTGCGATTGTTGATAAATTTCACAATTACTTGGTATAAAACGACCGTTTGCCCTCCTTCGATCACCTCTTTCCTCTGACACAATAAATATGGCGGCATCCGGAAAGACCGTAGCGCTGGTAATTGGGGCTTCTAGAGGCATAGGGCGACAGGTTGCAATTAACCTGGCGAGAGAAGGCTACGCAGGCATGTCTCATTGTTACCTCGTGAAGATCACTGCTGACAATCACCAGTCGTGGTCGCAGCCAAATCTACCTCTGATGCTTCTCAGGTCAAGCCCTTTCCGCCAGATCCTAACTCTTCTGCCTCCACCATCTCCACGGTTGCACGCGAGATTCTCGAATCTGGGGGTACCGCCACGGCCATCCCGGTCGATACACGCGACTTTTCCAGCATTCAAAACCTAATCCAGCAGACAATCTCTACTCATGGCCGTTTGGATGTCTTAATCTACAATTCAGGCGCGATATGGTGGGCAAGCGTCGAAAAGACACCCATGAAGCGCTTCCAGCTGATGCAGCGTGTCAACGTGGAGGGACTCTACGGTGCGGTTCAGGCTGCACTACCGCATTTTGAGAAGCAGGGATGGAGGGGAAGGATCATTGTTGTCAGCCCACCAATCTACTCACGCTTCTTCCGCGGCAAGACTGCATATGCGATGGGTAGTAAGTATCACTGTACTGAAGACATGTAAGTCTTGAGCTGACAATCTTCCTCAGAGGTGGGAATGTCTGTGTTGACTAAAGGACTTGCCATGGATTTCGTGCGAGAGGGCAAGAAAGACATGGCCATCACTTCTATCTGGCCTGCAGCAGCAATTCAATCAGCAGCGACTGAAAGCCAGGCGAAGGAAGATGCAAGCGAACTGAGGAAGCCGACGATCTATTCCGACGCAATTCTGGCCATGCTAAGAAGCCCGCCTGAGGAGGTCAATGGGTGCCTGGAGCTCGATGAGGACTTCTTGAGGAAGAAGGGTGTGCATGAGTTTGGCAAGTACAGCGTTGTGCCTGGGTCGAGCCCGAGGAGAATCATGCCGGCGGAATTTCCTGACCTGACAGTCAAGGAACAAGATGACGAAGGGAAAAGAGTTGACAGCACAAAGCTAAGGTCTGCGAAGTTATGATTGGACGGGTCTGGCTTGCGATAATCACAATAGGCAAGAAGCCATGCATCGTCTTGGGAATATAGAGAATATCCACCCGACTACATCAGAGGCTGCCCTACTTCGCCAAAATTGTGTTCCGTCCAAAAAATGTAAGATCCTACGCACCATTGCCGGATCAGAGGATCAAGCGCCTATACAGGGTAGAGTGCGTGAATATCAATTGGCATCAGGACGATGTCTGCGCTCAAAGATGTAAAGTAGCATATGATTCAAGCAAATCACAGTTTCGGCCATTCTATTGCAGAGAATCCATCTTCCATGTAAACAACAGGCTGCTGTTCTGAATCGTCTTTGCTCTGCTTGCATTTCACTAGTGGGATCATTCGTCGACGTCACATAGTGTTCAACCCAAAGGGTCCATTCGATAGCTTGTATCGTTCGACTTACATAAGTCAGGGTTTCGCTTCAGTCCGTGGGACCTACCGTTCGCTGCAAGAGCAGCCTACACTTGAAATGCATCAGATTATCCATCAGCCACTGAGCTACCGTGGCATTCGTCATTGTTAGCAATCCAAGTCTCCAGAGTCCTCGTCAGCCAGCGCTTCGTTCTGTCCGCTTCCGTCTTGTCTGGGTTAGAGACCATATAGACCAGCTCTTCTTTTTTGAACCACTCGTGGTTCAACTTGCAGGTCTCACCCTTTGGGTGTCCTCGAGGCAGTGTAAAGAACACCTCACAGCAACGTGGGTAGGGACCGGAGAACAGTCCCTCGTTCTTGAAGTGGATGGTCCCCTTCAGCCCTCGAGTTCCCCATTTTGATGGGGGTTCACGACTATGTGTCGCCGAAAATATCATGGCAAACACTTCATCCAGTTCCAATCTCAGAGGATGGTGACGGTCCACCACTTTCGCATGTGCCGCGTTCGCTGTAGCTGTTCTCCTGGCGTATATCCTTGGCAGAGATACATCAGGTTCGACGTGATTGTACGTCATGTCCGGTCGGGCTATCTGGGGCAGACGAGGAAATTCGGCTTGACTGCTAGCGTCTGTGTTCGCCTCAGTAGGCACAGCAGATTCAACATTCGATGATGGTGACGTTCCATCAGGAACTTGACCGTCTTCGACACCGCCGAGGTCTGAAGATTGTGGTTCGACGTCAGCAGCGTCTCTCGTCATTTCCGTAAGCGCAATTGATGCAAGGTTGGAAGCAGCGGTTCTCGACCCAGAACCTTCACTGTCGCTAGAACTTGACGAAGAAGTTCGGTGGCGTTCTGACCAGGAAGAGGAAGTTCTCCGACGGCGGGTTTCCCCACGACGGTTCGGTCGATCGCGACCACGGCGAGTTCGTGACCTGCGTGAGGCCGTATCTCTGTCATAATATCCGCGGCTTCTCGATCGAGTGCGCCTGCGGGTTTCCCCACGACGGTTCGGTCGGTCGCGACCACGGCGAGTTCGTGACCTGCGTGAGGCCGTAACTCTGTCATAATATCCGCGGCTTCTTGACCTCGATCGATTGCGCCTGCGGTCGTAGGACGGACTTCGATATCGCCGGCGGTCTCGGGACCTGGTTCGAGTGCGACCTCGGTCTTCTCTCCTGTCGCGAGAACGACGTTGGCGAGTTCGGCGACCAGAGGTACTGCGAGAGCGACGTCGGCGTCTCCGATCCTGAGAATCCTCGCGAGCATCGTAGCGACGACGTGGACTTCGATCTCGAGACCTACTGCGAGAGTGATAATGCCGATCTCGGCTTCGCTCAGAAGAGCTTCGACGTGAATGGTAGTCATTACGATACCCTCTGCTGCTGCCATCTCGACGCCGATAGTTTCGGTCTTGAGACCTATGGCGTGAACGATCCCGACGATATCGATATCTGTCACTGTCTCTCCGTCTGCCGCTTCGCTTGCGGTTTCGAGACCTTTCGCGGTCTCTGGACGATCGGCGCCGTGATCGTGATCGCGAACGCGAACGCGAATAATCGCGTGCCATTGTGGAGGATGGAGCAAAGAAGTCAAGCCGTATACGGTGAAATTGATGTATGTGCGGTACATAGACAGCGTCACGTGGTGCCACTAGCGCACGTACGAGCTCCTCTCACTCTCACCAAAATCGATCTACCTGTCCTCCCGCTTGGTCACAGCTGAATGGTTACTGTCCCAAACTTCAAGTTTGCCACCGACTAAAGGAGTTCCCCAGCGCGGGCACTCAAGGTTAATCCCCAACTAGACACGACGTGTATGTGAGAATTGTTGTCGAGTTGGAACATTATTGACGCCGCTGACAACTAATTTGCGCTCTGAGGCCAATAATTATGCGCCCAAGATACGATTTACCGACCATTCGACGATCATGAGTCACTTGTGTTCTTTGTAAGACCTATATTCAAGGTGAAATGCGCCATGTTGAGCCTTACTGCGTACGATTCTACCGGCAACACTTCACAGATCACCAGAATAAGTGGAAAGGTACATGGGATGAAGCATACATGTATTACGGCCAACAATTGGCAGAGGAGCTATCTACTGGGCGCCATAACGCTTATCAGCTTCACATCTGAGCTTCGTGCCTTTGGCATACTCACCCCAGAGAAGCTACATCTCGATGGCATATACCAACCGCTACGCAAGTCACATACAGTAGACGGGACTCGCTTTTCGCTGCAAAAGCAGCAGATCGCTCTCAGAAAGGAGCAGCTCACAATCTAGATTAGATAGAGACATATCGCCCTTGGTTGGAGCACTGCGCCACAGTCTGTAACATATACGTCCACACAGGGACTTGGTCCTCAGAAGCAGAATGTTTGCTTTCAAATGTGCGTGGCGGCAAGTAGCCATTCTTGGACCAGGTCGGCACTCTATAGGTCAATGATACCGAATATGGCCTGAGACCTTGACAGCAATATACTTATCCCAGGCCTTTCACAGCCATTGCTTGGTCATGTTAGCCTCCGACACGCCGGGATTAGATAGCATGTAAATCAGTTCTTCCTCTGTGTACCAATCGTGCCGCAAACGGCACTATTCACCGGGCTTATGTCCGGCACTGTGAGCAAACATCGCCCCACAACGACGAGGATGAGGTCCAGAGAATAGGCCCAAATCCTTGAATGGACAGCATTTTCATGCCATTTGTTGCTCCATCTTGGAGGAACTTCACGAACATGCGTCGCTGGGAAGGTCATCCTTGATATCTCATCAAGGTGCACCCTCAAAGGTCGGTAACTGTTCGCTACTTCGGCTGATTCAGCCGTTTTCGCTGCCCTGGCAGGTCTCCGTGATGGAATTGAAATAGTTTGCACACGCTGTCCAGATATATCTGGACGAGATCCTGAAGGCAGGATCGGAAATTGTGATTCGGCGCTTGCAGCGTCCCTCATCGCCTGTTCAGGCATATGAACTTCTGGACTTGGGCTAGTCGGATGTCGCCCTGAAGAAGATTCAGCGTGATTCACGCCACATGTCGAACTAGAAAATTCAGTGCTCGCGTTCAAGGATCGCACAAAGTAGGAAGAAGGGGGTTCATGGGCCCACGTTTCTTCCAGGTGGGGTTCCGCTTCTACCATCTCTGTCACATTTGTTAATGATGGCACCTGTGTTTGAGGCGCCGGCGGCATGCCAGGCATTTTGCTCTGCTGAAAAGGCTGAGCATTCGGTGCCACATGATAGGGCTGGACTGGCTGTGGCGGTTGCGGTATAACGTAGCCTTGCTGTGGCACATGGTAATGCTGCACTGGAATTTGTGGTGGTGGAGCCGCCAGCGGAATGCCAGGCATGGCGCCCTGCCCAAACTGCTGAGCATAGGGCCAATTTGGATACGCCTGCGGTGGCTGCTGCTGTGGTTGTAGCGGCGGGGGATGCGCATTCGGTTCCCAGTACCCAGCTTGCTGCTGTGGCAGCGG